GTAGTCAAAAATGGAAAACTGACATTGTTGAGAACATACTCTTCGCAATTGAGCTATGCAATGATCATGTCAAACTCTAAGCGTGATGGAGCTTAATGGGAAGTCGTGTCATACAATTCGGTAAGAAACTTGACCTTTGCACTTCCAACAGTGGCTGAGCAGCTGTCACTGCTGACTGCTGGTCGGCCTGTCTCGTCACTCTTGATGGAGATGGTCGTAGCGATACTGAGACCATTCACATCCAAATCAAAAGACCCGCTGTCCTTTCTAGTAAAATAAAAAGGATATCAGATATTATATTTTTAAGCAACCAAATTATTTTCCCTATAGAAGAGATGTTACCTCACTCACATTATTCGCAGGTACTTGACCCTCCAGTTTCCATTCAGACTGATGAAGGCATCACCTATAGACAGTGTGACTCCAGTCCCTGGCACCAGATCCACTGAAGACTTTGGTAAGCCCACATTAACTATGTGCATACTGGAGGAATTAATGTGTTTTTGTTAAAGAAAGAAAAGGACAAAATAACAGTTTGCTACAGAATCTAAACACATGCAAAAGAAAAAAAATCTGGTGGCTTACTTTGACAAACTATACTGAACCTTTCCAATCGGAGACACCTTCTCTGTCCCAGAAAAGTCTGGAATTTTGATTGATCTGAGTTTCTGCTGGATGACAGCCATGCCCAGTTGCCTGCCTAAGAAAAACCAAAGAAAAAAAGAATCTGATGAACAAATCCTGGAGAAATCAGTGCTTTTCTAAAAATGAAGCATTTTTACACAAACCTTACCATATTCAATGCCCTTTTCTGTCAACCTGACCTTTACTCCAGGATTCGTGCTTAAGGTTGTGGGGATGAGAGCCACCAGACCCAACCAACAGCACAGGAACATCTCAGCAGCTGGAAAAGAAGGACAAGAACATCAGCAAAATTCCTGTTTATGCAAGAGCAACAGAAGACAGAGCAGTACTGTGAAGAAAGATTGGAAAGAAAGAAATTAAAGAAGATGTACAAATACAACATTACTGAAATACTATGCAGTGGAGGAGAAGTATAAAGTGGTTTATTTCATGCTTCATTGAAAGAGCTAACAGTCATTGCTTCACATGAAACCACATGTCCCCTGAGAGGTCAGCAGGGTGAGCTTGAGCTATATCAAACTATGCTGATTGTCAGGGCATAAAGATGGTCCACCATCTTTACCAGCACTGCGTGTTTCAAGCTAGATGTGCATACAGCTTTAAACCAGAGCAGTTACATGCTTTTTGTCTACAGCGTGTCATTCTCCCCACTAAACCAAAATAAAGCTGACCGTTTCTAACTCATACTTCACTCTTGCTGCTGACTTTGCTTGAACTTTAGTACACTGCATGTGTGGATGGCAGATCTGGACTCTGTGCAAGTCTAAATTATGATAATGTGATGTAAAGTGTGTTTGTCTGAAGAATGTGGGTTGTTTTTGTTGTTTTATTGAAGATCATTTGGTTTTTACAGCCCACACTAGAAACCAAAACCTTTCTTTATACCCAGTGAAAAAAAAGCATCCTCAATGTTGTCAGTTTGGCTCAAGTATGTTTCATGTTTCATCTGAATGCAGATCTCAGTGTTTTCAACACTCAGAGATGGTGCACTCAATACAAACCACATCTGTCTTAACCTGAGTTGCAACACTAGTTTGCTCAACTGATAACAAGTCTTTACAAGTCAAACCTTATAACAACAACCAAAGTGCACTAAGAGACTAAATATAACTTATTTTGCAGTAGAGTAGCCACGTACCCTTTCAGATTTTACCCTTTGAGAGATCTGTGTTAACTGCCTGCACCATCTGTGTTGAGATTAAGCATTACAACTCAGAAAACATTGCTGCCATATACATTTAACCCACACTCACTCTTACCTGAAGCAACAGTTCGTCCGGAAGACGTAGCTTGCCCTTTCTCAGACGATGTGCCAGCGTAGCCAAAGAGTCAGACTGAAAGAGGAAGAGAATCACATGCGCTCTAATTCACTTACTTAATCAGGAACTGAGCTTCTCAAAGAATCTCACCCAGCAACAATAAGCAAACATGCCGTTTGCAATGTCCCTTTATTGAATTTCATTCCACTCCCTTATCATTTTTTCACAAAAGACTAACAGTGTAGAAGTTAAAGATTATCAGAGATTTTAAAGACAGACTAAGTCAACTACTGTAAAGCTTGGTATTGTTTGAAGAACTTTATGTCCTTGAAAGTTTGTCCTCTTGTTTTGCAGGTATGTCTGTGTTTTAGTTCCTTGCATGAATTTACAGTAAGTACCACACAAGAACCAGGCACAACTCAACTTCCCACTTCCTCATCTCAGTTTTTCAAAGAATTATTGAATGTGTTCAGCTGCCAGGCGGCTTTTTAAAGAGACAAAGGCTGCTTTCCACTCCATCCTTGTGGACTCAGTATCAGTTATCAGTCCCTTGAGTGAATTTCAAGCATTCAAATGGACTCAAAGATGAACTTGGTGGATTTTGGTCTCTTTATTAAAGTCAGTGGGATCTCACACAACACAATTTTGGCTATAACTAAAGTATTAATGTGCTTATTGTGACTGCCATAACCTTTTAACTCTCCATGCTATCAAAAAATACTCTTCAAATTGCTGCTTTGAGTAGATAACCACATGTGTTTTTACTGTACTTTTACTGTAAATGCACGTTTCGACTTTCTAAAAAAAAAAAAAAAAACACAGAAGAAAAGACCAGGAAATGGTTCCTCAGTGAAAATCCAGTGTGATAACCACACAACCAAAAAGTTTACTATATCATATTGTTTGGTCATGATGTGCATCAATATTTTCTTTGTGATTTAAAAACCACTGAAATTGCTTCCTGCTTTTTGAATTGCTGTTTATGTTTAAAATACAAAGTCATCACACAGCAGCTGGTCAGTAACTGCGGTTATTGTCTGAAAACAGGAAGCCTTTCACTGAAAACTGACACAATTGTGTAAAACCTTTACAGTGGGAAGAAAACACTCTGCTTGCTGCTGATTGGTGGAGGTACAAAAAAGCAAGGTGGCATCCAGTCAGACCTGTTTTGGTCCACACAAACCAGCGGCTAGTATTAGACACGATGATTCGTACGCTATTCAGTGTTTACTGCTGTTTTATGGAGCATCAAAGCAATGTGGACATCACTTACAATCTGAACAGTACTGAACTTTTACACAGTGAGAAATGTGAGGCAGCATGAAGAGGTAAAAAATAGCAGCGGGCCATGGGGTTAAAGTCTGAGAGAATCGAATTATTGTGCTGACAGGAGAAAAAGCATGTTGGGTGGATTATTAGTTCACAGCATTCCTCCCACAGTGCCTACAACTGCAACACACGAAGTAAAGAGGTGGTAGGAAATACAGTCACATGAAGAGCTTTGGTCATGTGACACACATTCTGAAGGAATTGTTGTCATTTTTCTTAAAGTTCACCACCTACAGCTGGATAGCAGATGGCCCCGCCCCTCCCTGAGCCTGGTTCTGCAGGAGGTTTCTTCCTGTTAAAAGGGAGTTTTTCCTTCCCACTGTCACCAAAGCGCTTGCTCATAGGGGGTCATATGATTTTGAGGTTTTTCTCTGTATGCACTAATGTAAGTTCTAGCTTACAATATAAAGCGCCTAGAAGTGACTGTGATTTGTGATTTGGCCCTGTATAAATTAAACTGAATTGAATTGATTTTAAACCGCTGCTTGTAGACAAAAACATTTCCTTTATTCCAACCTGAAACTTTATGTCATCAGCAAATACTTGGATGATTAGACAATGAACATGAATTTAATTCAGATCTAAATTGCTGGGCAAACTCTGTGTTAGACCCGTATTGTGTTTCTCGTGTATTGTTTTGTGAAGACATCTGCATTTAAATGGAGTGGCTATAATTAGTGTGGCAACACTACAGCTTACAGAGGACCAGCTCCAACCTGAGGACCATCCCTATATGTGGAACCAACATGGCTCATTTGCTTCTCTTTGATTCAATCAGCCACAGCAGAGATAATTGAGACTTGTAGTTGTTCTGTGTCTAGCAAGAGAGAACAAGTAAGCAGCACTGTTCTGCCTTTTGTTTTCTGTAACTGTTTTCACGGACCAGGGAGGCAAGCCCATGTTTTTTGGTTTGTTATTTTCAGGCAGGTCATCTGATCTGGTATTGATGCACAGCTCTGTTTGTTGGTTGTTCTGACTTTGGCTCACCCTGAGGATTCTCTACTTCTGAATTTGTGAATCTGCTGAATAATAAATACGACACTTTTTTTTCCTCTTCTCTGTGGCTTCTCGGGGAAGTGGATGCTTTTGTTTTCATGCCATGTCTTGTCGTTGTGCTAAAATGTGATTTCCCCTGTTTCCTCCTTTATAAAGGGCGGGCCTATAATTTGTAAAATATGCATCAGACATATCTCAACAAATCATATCAAGTCATTTTTATCCATAAACAACATTCCTATCATAAATTTATATATAACCCCTTAATGTAATATATTTACCAATTTATCAAAGACGTTACACATAATTATTACACAAAAACATTGGAAATCACTTTTTTGCATAACATCGGCCGCTAGACGGGATGTAACACACGGTTGCTCAATATGCAACAGACTATAGTTAAAACCACAAACCCTCAATGAAACTCTATATGACCCCTTAGAAGGGTTCAAGCAAGGAGCTTAGATCAGTACGCACTGCTAGCATAAAAAAACATCAGTTTTTATAACTGTAGTGAAACAACTCGTTATTACTACAGGAGACAGTTTAACTGCTCTAAATGCTTTTGGCACAGTCACAGCTGCTCTGCAGAAATGGCTCCTGTCACTGGTTTGTGTGCAGAATTTCACTGTTATTCCTGAACTCAAAGGTGAGGTGACAAAAAAAATCAAACTTCTAGTACCGTAACTGCTTTTGTCCACTTGGTGGTAGCAGAAACTTGTTTTACACACCTTTAAGTTGTTGCCTTTGGGAGCGTTTGCCACCTGCCACCTATGCCACCTATTTTTGCTCCCTACCAACTTCCTGAGGAAATATTTGGCTCTTTATCTGCTAAATGCACTACGTTCACAAGCTAGACACACAACCGTTTCTTTCTACTGTTTGATGTTTAGTGTAAGTACCATTCAGTGGCTTTTAAGACTTTTTAGACCAAAAACATCAGGATAGACTGAAGCTAAAGTGAAACCTCACTGTAAAAACAGAAAAGGAATGTAGAGTTGTTCCGCTATGTTCAACATGAGCTACTAGATAATCTCTGAGATAAAAACAAATAACACATTTTCATTAGCGGCATGATGTCTTTAAAATGGATTCAAAACTTTGCTTCATCTTGATTTTTTTCCTAATTCCTAAACTGACCCTGATACAATGTTTCTCCTTTTCTGAGAGGCCATTGGACAGTCAGTGTAGAACATCCCTTCATACAGGTGTGGTGTAATTCAGAGTGCTTTAAGTTCTCAAAACAGGTGTAAGGTAACAGAAGACTGACGCACTCAAGAAATATGGAGCTAATCAAATCCATCCATCTTCTTTAACTCAGGGTCACAGGAAGCTGGAACCTATCCCTGCTGCCATATGGTGGGAGACAGGTTGCCAGTTTGTGAAAGGGCTTAAAGACAGACAACCAGTCACACCTACGGACAGTTAAAGTTAGCACTTAACTTGCACTCAGGACCTTCTCGCTGTGAGGCGACAGTGCTAACCACTGTGCCAAGTACTCTCCTGAAATAGCAAGATGATTGAAAACATATTACCTGAAGATACAAGGAGCAGTGGCAGTGAAGACAGGTGAATTTAAATACCTGTGATCGACCGTCCAAAACAACAGACAGAAGAGAGTGCAGGCAGGGTGAAGTGGGTGGGAGAGGAGTGTCAAGGGTGATTTGTTACAGAAGGGTAGCGAGAAGAGTGAAGGTGAAGGTTTACAAGATGGTAGTGAGAGCTGCTATGATGTGTGGTTTGGAGACGGCAGCACTGACAAAGAGACAGGAGGTGGATCTGGAGGTGGCAGACCTGAAGGTTTCACTGGGAGTGACCAGAAATTATTATATTAGAGGGACAGCTCAGGCTGAGTGGCCTGGACATGTGCAGAGGGACAGTGGATGTACTGAGCCAATGATGGTGACTATAGAGCTGCCAGGCAGGAGGAAATTGGAAGGCCAGAGTAGGGATTGATGAGTGTGACATGTAGATGGGTTGGTGTGATGGAGGATGTTAGGTATAGAGTGAAATGGAGGCAGATTATCTGCTGTGGTGACCCTCAAAGGCAGCAGCTAATAGAAAAGCCCATAAACATTGCAATCAAAAGCACAGTCATGCATGTTTTCAAGGAGAGGCTGACAGGACAGGCTTGCTATTTCAGGAGACGCTGACACTGCTGTTGCTGAGACTTCCTGAACTGGAGTGACATCTTGTGGTCACAAGTATATATAACATACACATTACTTTATATGTGGTTCTCAAAGGGGGATCCCTCAGACAACCTCGGGATTGTGATTTAATAACATTAACATTTACAATGTTTACATGCTGTTTATGGATAAACCCAGTGTTCACGTTTGGAGAACTGCTTCCGTGATTACCCATGTTGCTGCCTCTATTAATCAAGCTAATTACACAACATCTAATGTAATTGCAACACTCCAGGTCCAGTCTGCAGCTCAATGAAAGCAAACACATGAAAAACAAGCTCCGACGAGCTTTTAGTTTCACACTATCACGCACGCTGCATTCGGAGCCTGGTATGAAGTAGGTTAATTTGCAGCCAGCAGGGGTGCCTCAAGGTCTTGCTTGGG